GTGGGGTTTGCCTCAGCCCCGTCCCCCACCAAGCACTCTCCTGTCCCCCCTGGCTCCCCAGCCCCGTCCCCCACCAAGCACTGCCCTGCCCCCCCTCCCCAGCCCCGTCCCCCACCAAGCACTGCCCTGCCCCTGGCTCCACAAGCTCTGGCCCACCTCATCCTCCCCGGACGCTCTTTCTCTATCTCTGCACTCTCTTCTGCCCAACCTCCAAGTTGTGCAGCAGCTCAAAAACTGTCCTCAGACCGCAGCTGGGCACCCTCCTGGCCCCCATGTGGTCTCCCTGGTTCCTGGGTTTCGACCCATCTCTAGGCTGGTGAGTCACAGCTTATATTCAGTCCCAGACTCATGCCCTAAACTCAAGACTCACGCCACCAACCCGGTGCATCTCGCTACTGGGTGTCTATCAACATCTCAGACCATCGGGCCAGAGCTCCTGCTGGGGCCGACCCACCCTGACGGCCACCGGATACAGCCCCAGGTCCCCTTCAAGGAAAGGCCTGTYGCCCTGGCTGCTGGGGAGATGTCAGCCCTTCTGGGGAGAGCCACCTCTCTCAGGTCCCCTACACCCAGCGACCCAGACACTTCATCCCAGTGCAAGACACGGTGACAGCCACCAGCTCCTGAAGGGTCAGCAAAGGCCATGCTGAGCAGGCATGTCACCTGGCCCCGCCTCTGTGTACTGCACGTGTCCCTGAGAAGCCATCTATGAACTGATCCCCAGCAGGACGCAGGGAGATGGGGGGTAGGGAGGTAACGGGGCGGGAGGACAGCCCCTTCATGGCAGGAGCGATTGGGGAAGAGACGGGGACAGCTTGCTTCTCCCCTCTCCACCCACAGGCAAGGAGGAGCCCCCGCCAGACCACAGCCCCCCAAGCCAACGCTGGCCATCAGTCCACCTCGGCCTTTCTCCCTGACCCAGAACCGASAGGGCTCTTCCAGCCAGTGGTGGCCAGCGCCCGCGCCCTCTGTCTGGGATGATCAGTCACCACCGAGTCAGCCTCCTGGGCCAGCCGCGGCCAGCGTCTCCGTTCCCCACCCAGTGCAGAGCAGTCCTTGTTAACACACCCACCAGATCCTGYCCCCACTCTGCCACCAGCCTCCAGGGCCTCCCTGTCTTGAGCAGTGCACAGGTCAGAGCACGTGATGGTGTGCAGGGTCCCCCACAAGGAGGCGGCCACCCGAGACACGGCCCCCTCATCCCAGAGCCTGCTTAGTGCCCAAGCAGAGGAACCCAAAGTCCACGTGTGCGAGCCCTTCCCACACCACTGCCCAAGGCCACCGTCGTGATGGAGGCATGTGCCCGTGGCAGCAGGGGAAGGACCCCGCAGCATGTTTGTGGCCTGTGGGCCGGGAGTCCCGGGCTCCTGGTGAGACCCCGAGGTAGGAGGGGAGACAGCCCTCGGCCACGTGGGCCTCTTTCCCCAGGGAGGGGCAGGCCAGGGAGAGCTAGAAGGGCCCTCCCTCTCACAGTGGTGCCATTGCCCCAGCCATGGGCAGCACCGGCCCCTGGCACAGCCGTGCCACGTGCCACCACTCCTCTCCCGGAACCCGCCCCCAGCTCGCTGTGTGGCCTGCTGCTGCATCTTCAGGGACCACGTCCTGGGCGCCCCGTTCAGAGGTGCTGGCTCCACCCCTGGGCTCACCAGCGCCTCCCCCACGGCGCCCCTCTCCACAGCAGCAACACTGACCACAGCCGGGGCGTCTCCTGGACGCCGTCTGCCTGCACCAGGACCAGGCTCCCCGCAGGAAGGCGCTTGGTCCTGGACTCCCTCGCACACTCACGGGTATAAAGGTGGAGACTGTCAGTCGGTGCTGAGGACCTCGTTGGGATAAAGCAAACCAAGGAGGACAGTTGCATGGGATGGGCTCAACGCGGTGCCCAGAACGTGACCGACTCTCAGTAAAAGCTACCTGCAATGACAGTGACAAGCTGACRTGCCAAACGAACATCCACGGGAGAAGCAGGAGAGGACTCATCTCGGAGTCAGTCTTCAGAGGCCTGGCCACGGGCCGGCCACACCGAGGTCACTACACACTCCCAAGGAGGCTCCACGCTCCTGKGTGGACGGTCTCCGTGTGTCTCCTGAGGGCTGGTGGCCTCCCAGTCCTGCTCTGAACAGCGAGCCAGGCGCTCAGTCCTGGGTGTGTGCACACGTGTGTCCCCGGGGAGGGAACCCAGGGGTGCTCTCCCACTGAGCCACATCCCRGCCCTCTTTATTTTCTACTTTGAGGCAGGGTCTTGCTGAGTGGCCTAGACATGCACAGTCACCGGGATGACGGGCACGGCCACCACGTGATCATTGTGTTCTAAACTCTTTATTGTGAACTCAACAGCACCCTGGCACGCTTGCCGTCACCACCCCCAAAATGGAGAGGACCRGCTCCAATAACTGAACCCCAACACCTCCAGAGACACCCTGGCATGCTGCCCAAAGAACACCCCGGAAAGGCAGCACCTGTCCGAGGCTTTCACGTTGGTCAGTTCCAGCCACACTTCCTGATGTTTGCTAGCCCAGGACACAGCACAGTGACACGTCTGCAGAGTTCATAGTCCCCGACAGCTGGCTTTAAAAACGCAGCAAGCTGGGCACATTGGCACACCCCTGTGACCCCAGCAGCTTGGGAGGTGACACAGGAGGAGCCCGAGTTCCAAGTCAGCCTCAGCAACTCAGCAAGACCCCGTCTCAGAATTAAAAATGGAAGCCTCATCCCAGCAAGCCGCAGACACCATGGGTGACACAGAAGAGCAGCCAGCCCCAGACGGGACACGGCCGTGGGCTGCAGCCCTGTGGTGACCCTGAGGTCCTGGCCCTTCTGTCACTGCCATTCCATCCCAGACCCCATTCCCTACAGCCTGATTTCCAGAGCTGAGGGACCGTGTTACAAGCACCACCAGGACACTGTGACCACCAGATGGCACCTGCCACCATGGAAACGCAGGACAGGTCTCCAGGCAGAGCGGGTTGCTGAGCACAGCGGCTTGCAGAGGGTAGAGGCTCAACTTTCACCTAGGTCTGGCCTCGGGCCTGCACCCCCTTAGGCAGGTGTCCCCGAGTCCCGACGAGCGGTCTGGGCGAAGCCCTGCACTTCCCTATTTGCTGTGTCGGCCTCAGACTTGCTGCCCCTGAACTCACTGRGACGTGGCCCTGCTTCAGGAGGGAGGGGGTCTCCTCCGCGTCTTGACCAGGCACTGCCCACGTGACGGCAAGGACATAGAGGGCAGCACGCCTGACTGGCCAGAGCTGTCTGGAGAGAAGAAGGGCCCAGGGAGCCTGGGAGGTGGACTCACCGTGCTGGGCCTGGATTCCAGGGCTCAGAGACAGTCCTGGGGGAGAGAGAAAGAGTGGGGCTTCCTCCTCAGGCCCCGTCACAGCCCAGACCAGTCTGGACACAGGGGCCTCAGGGGCCAGGCCTGCAGCCGGAGCAGGAGACGGCTGGCCACTTGGGCAGGACCAGAGGCCAGACCTGAGGTGGCCACCCTCCCACCTCCCGCCCCTGTCCCTCCCAGAACTCACCGAGGTAGAACAGCGTGATGAGGGTGCTGGCCATGGCTCTGCTGGGCCCAGCAGACGACAGGACAGTCCAGAAGGACAGACGGCGGGTCTGCGGCAAGAGGCTTTGTGCCTGGATGTCACATGAGGCCTTCACAGGAAGGCACACTRGTGGCCCCAGCCCCACCCCCGGGTGGCCAACCGCACCGTTTCACAATTCTGCGATGTGGTCAGGGAAACAGACGCGGGGACYGGACCGCCTGACAGGACGTCAGATGAGACCCGAGAGTCCGGCCTAACTCTGCACGCACAGAGCTGGCCACAAACTCACCCCGGGGACCTGAGTGTCCCTTGAACCAGAGGCTTGGCACCAACACCAAGCCCCTGTGGGACAAGAAGGGAATGAATTCCTGGAGATCCACTGCCCACTGCCCCCGCTGCCCCTCTGCCCCCGTTGTACCCCTCTGTCCCCTCTGCCCCCGCTGCCCCTCTGCCCCCGTTGTACCCCTCTGTCCCCTCTGACCCCACTGCCCCCGCTGCCCCTCTGCCCCCTCTGCCCCCACTGCCCCCTCTGCCCCCGCTGCCCCCACTGTCCCCCTGCCCCCACTGTCCCCGCTGTCCCCTCTGTCCCCGCTGTCCCTGCTGCTTCTGCAGGTGCAAGAGCCAGGCCCTGGGAGGTGGCATGGGCAGCCGTGGCCAGGACAGGACGCTGGCGACAGTGGAGCAGAGGCTCCCGGGCTGCGAGGGGGAGGGGACAGGAGCTGGCGTCTAACAGGGACAGTTTCTGCTTGGAAYGATGAAGGTGCCTGGAGGGGGACAGTGGGGATGGCCAAGCCGCAGTGTGGACACACTGGATGCACTGAGCTTCGGACCTACCGAGGGACGTGGTGAACCTCACCTTCGTGTACCTCACATGGCAGTGAATATGTAACTCACATCACGTACCTTTGACTCCACAGACAGAAGGATAAAACACGACACTGTCTACTTACGATGTCATTKAATACGTGTAAACACAGAAGACCCAGACGGAGGACGCCTCTGCACATGGCCCTGTTCTCCCGCAAGCCCTTCAGGGTAAGGCAAGCCCAGGCCGGCCTCAGCCCCAGGCCCTGCCCSTGGGAACCTCACCGTCTGCAGCCCTCAAACCCAGGAGCTCAGGGTCGGGAAAGTCAGGGCCCTGGTGTGGAGTGGACAGTCCACAGCTTCAGACTGCGCCACAAATGRCTGTCAGCTCTGACGGGCAGCTCACCTCCCTCATGGGGCGGTCACAAGGTCACTGYGAAGGGCCAGGAGGCAGAGAGTGCCCTGGCCCTCCAGCCAGAAGCCTAAGAAGAGGCCGTGGCCAGACGAGGGAAGGAGCCTGTGCATCAAGGCAGAGGGAGCAGGCGGGGTAGGGACCGCCCGGGGCCTTGCTGATGTCCCTCCTCTGGCCCCCCAAMGGCTCCCACCATCCACAAGATGAAGCACTCCTTACCTTCACACTGCAGCGGTGTTTCACCCCCTTCTCAAACTCACCCTCCTCTCCACCGGCCCCAGCCTGGGCCTCTGTCCACGTCTCCACCCCAACAGTTGGAGGACGCTAATGGAGGCTGCTAGTGGAGGCTGAGGTGCCAGCATAATATAAATTATAGATTATGTGAATGTAATTCATAGAGTCCAAGGACATTACGGAGTCTGAAGGGAGGTCCCGACCACCTTGGGGAGGAGCCCTCAAGCTGTCTGCTACCCCTGCTGCCCCCGCTGTGCCCTGCTGCCCCTGCTGCCCCCGCTATCCCCGCTGCTTCTGCAGGTGCAAGAGCCAGGCCCTGGGAGGAGGCATGGGCAGCCGTGGCCAGGACAGGACGGAGGTTCCGGGAAGCTGGCGACAGGCCCAGCCTCTGAGCCAGGCACCTTGTGTGCACGCGCCCAGGGGAAGGGAGGTGGGGTGTGCAGGAGACTTCCTCCTGCCCCGTGTTCATTTTAGGCAGGCCCACGGCCCCCCAGGGCCCTCCGGAGCCTCCCTGGGGAAGGAAGGAAGGGCTCAACGGTGTGCCCAGCCCCTCAGAGCCACGTCAGGAGGGTCAGAGGCAGGACACGGGCCACCTCCACCCAGCCCACCGGGGGCCCAGCTCCACAGACAGAAGTGGGCTGGCAGGGGCCCAGGTGGGGCATCTCTTCAGGCCCTGGGACTGGCAAGAAGGAGTGCAGACCCTCCCTGACTGGCCACCAGGCCTGCTCTGCCCGTGGGTCCTGCCCGTCACCACGTCATCACCAGAGACCAGGGAGCCTGGGAGCCACACTGATGGGTRGGACACGGGAGGTGCCCACGCACACGCAGCCTAACAGAACCAGAAGCAGCAGAGCCTACGCAAGGGCCCGGACCCAGCCTCAGCCCAAGGTGGTCCCCTGCCACTGAGGGGCCAGCTTTGTGGGGACAGTTCTGGTTGCCTGATTCGTTCTGACTTGGCTTTCTGTTTTGTGGCCTTTGGTGTTTTAGACTCTAGGGCCACCACAGGTAGTATGTGCCTGTGATCCCAGGGACCTGGGAGGCTGAGACAGGAGGATCACAAGTTTGAGATCAGCCTGGGCAACCCAGTAAGGCCTTCAGCAACTTAGCCAGACGCTGCCTCAAAATAAAAAATAAAAAGGTTGGGGTGTGGCTTGGTGGTCGAGCACCCTGGGTTCATCCCCAGTTGGGGTGGAGGATGGGAGAGCAAGAGGCACATTCCATGCATCTAAGTGTGGGGGACAGGAAACCCTCTAAGCCACAGTTCATGATTAAGGCCAAGGGTCACTGCCATTTCGCCACCCCGGGGTGCACTGCTTCAACTGAAGGGTGTGCGCCACTGCGCCGCAGCAGTACAAGCCAGGGCAGGGCGGCCCCTCTACAGGCACAATCCAGCCCCAGGGAAGGTGAGTGTGAGAAGACAGCTCACAGTGGTGGCCTGTAGGGTAGCCGCCTGCTTCCTCACGGAAGCAGGACAGAGATGCTCCAGCGCTCCTCACCCACGCGCCTCCACGGCGGTGACTGGGGAGGTGGTTTTGCGCTGGTTTTCAGGAGATGGAGAATATACTCAGGGCGCAAAGGCTGGGCGGAGGGTGCTCTGGGTGGGTTGAAGAAGCACACGGTGCCACGCAGCCTCGTGTCCCTCCAACAGCCCCAGGGTGGCCTGGCTCCAGGGCTGCRGTCCCCAGGCAGGTTTCCTTTCTTGGTTCCTTGTCAGACACCATGTGGAGAGCGGTGACAGTGCCTGGGAGACCAGTGTCTGAGATTGAGGTCCCTGATGACTTCATGGCTGTGGCATCCTTGGTGACTGGGAAAGTTTCTGTGCCTAGGCATAGGATGCCCGGTTGCTATGGAGATGTCCTCCGTGCTAGAGTCTTATCAGCTTGGACCTTATTCTCAGGCAGGGCAGCTCCTGGAAATGAAGGAACTTCCTTGCTAAGACAGCCACAATATTTCACCAGTTCTGCTGCTCCTGAATCTGCCCTGAATTACTAAATTTAAACAATGCACTTTCTTGGGGCTGGGGATGTGGCTCAAGCGGTAGCGCGCTCGCCTGGC